CCCCCCCCCCCCCTCCCCCGAAAAAAAACGAGGTTCAGTACTCGGTACGATATACGAGACGTATACGGTACTTTTAATGAATGTGACATTCGTAATACCGTAAAATTCCGAAAATAAGCTTCTCCAAATATAAGCCCCCCAAAACTCGCAACGCAAAAAGACTTCTTTAAATGGCCCCTCCAAATATAAGCCCCTGGAGGCTTGTACTTGGAAATTGCCCTCAAATTCAAAATAAAGCAAAGCAAAAACTGTAAAGAAACACGTAAATTTTTGCATTTGCCAAAGAACTATTACGTGTGCCAAATGATTGCAGTCAAAAAGTTTCACAGCATATTGCTGCAGCTGTTTGCGTAGTTCACTTATGGCTTGGATTTCCTCCTTCCATATGCATGCATATGCTAAGATGTACGTCCTCAAGGCGAGTTTCAGTAAAAACTTTCTGCAAATTAGTGGCATAAATTTCCTTGCAACTATAAGCTAGTCCAGTCGATTTTGAGACGTAAAGTTCCCTCCCAGTATAAGCCTAGCCGGTTTTGAAAAGGAAATTTCCCTCCTTATATAAGCCCCTCAAAAAGGCCCTTTGAAAAATAAGCCTCGGGGCTTATTTTCGGAATTTTACGGTAGTACAAAATTAATGTTCTTCAAAGTCATACGGGTTTGCGTCTCATTTTCCTGGCATTTTTGACGGGCGACTCGAAAACGTATTGAGAACGTTTCAAGATTCACAAAAAGTAATTTTCTACAACGTTTTTTGAATTTATATATGTAACCTTTTTGGTTAACTATCGAAATAAAGATAGTGCCATTTTGAGGCCAAAAATTGATACACGAAATAAGCGCCTCCCGTCTCGCCTTAGAAAATTTAATAAGCGCCCCGGGCGCTAACTCGAGCATTTACGGTAAGTCGCCATTACCTGACAGATTTGGAAAATTAACATCACAGCTGTATTTAAGGGCCTGTTTTCAAGAAAAGAGGGTTACCCTAGCAAGCCGGTTAAAGTTAGCTCTGGTTTACAAGCAAATTTCACAGGTAGGGTTACCGTATCATCCGGGTCAACTTTACAAGCTTTGCTGACGTGTTTCGTCATGCGTGAAATTCACGAAAAAAGGGAAAATATTATCATCGTAGACAGAACATAAACCTGAAGACACATGTGAGAAGCTTGCAGGACATAACAAAATAACACTTACCACAAAGACCAAATGTTAGTTCCTTTCTCATCTTAAAAGGAATACAACGCACATCAAGGTTTTCGTTCAGTAAGGGACCTGGTTACCAAACAACATGGTGTGAATAAAACAAACTAACATAACTGTACAAGCAAATCTGTGTATATACTTCTACATCCACAAAAGATGCAGAAAAACTGCACTTACTACTTGGAAGTATCTCTCCTCGCAGTAATAAAAGAAACAACGAATTTTTACATGGACTTTGTTGTGGACGTACCCGTAGTACCGGCTGGTGCTATAGTCCTCAAGTGCTCAATTACGTCAATTCTCTTTTGAGATTTAGCTACATGAGCTAGACACCGAATCCATCTTTGCGTGTTGGGTGCTGGATTTTCCAGATCTGCTAGAGTTAACTGCAGACACTCTTGAAATTGAACTACAATTTCCTTGGTTTCTTTCGACTGAGTCTGAATGCATTGAAGAACATCATGGGGAAGAGCAAGAGACTTCTCTAGAAATTATTGCAAAGACACATGTTACAACAGAAGACTTCAAGTGACTACTATTATAAATTGGATTAAAAGAAAGAATAGATAGGAAAAACACAGGGTTTAAAAAGTACAAGTGATGTAAGTGTTCTTGCCTTCTTGGTAAGTTACACAGCTTCTCAGTTCTCCCACATTACATCCAGATGCACCTTGCTGCTTGAGAAAAAATACACAATCAACGAATTGAGAATATACAGTTTGAAAACCCTGAAATTTGTGGTTGTTTTTTTATAGTATAATTTTCATATATTTTTTCATTACCATTAAGTTGTATTATGACTCTAAATAATGATATCTTTGGCATGGAGGTCAAAGTGACAAGATATGATTTTTTGTACTCTTTCCTCCCTGAAATAACTTATGTTTTAATTTTGTATATTGAACTTTTGAAAAAACTGCAGTGGTTTTAGTAGTATTCGAGAACACACTCGTGAATTGTATTTTGTACATAACGTTTACAAAAGACCGATACCTACCTGATTCACTGGAGTCCTGCTTTCAGGGCCTGTTAGTGAAAACCAGGGTGCAAACATTTTGATTTTAATTCTGTAGTCGCCACGAAAACCAGGTCGGCTACAGTACTGAAATTTCTGAAGTTCGGATTCAGACAACAAGTGAAGACACTCACAGCCACGGACACCATGAGAACGACATCTGAGAGGATCTTTCTGCGAACACACTGGACAGCAAACGCACATTTCGTACCTCATGTGTTTTAGCCAGCTAAACTCTCTGCTCATGCACTCGAGAATGAGTCTGAGTTGCCAATGAATTGCACGACTGGTGGCTAGATTAGAATAATCATCAATTAAATCTTCCACCATTGCTCCACGAAAGTCGCTTCCATCGTGAAAGGCGATCTCAATAGAAGAGGAATGGCACATAATGATGATAGACACCCCTTGATCAGGAAGGATGTGAAACCGAGCAAAATTACTAAACAACTGGGGTTGTATATGGCTCTTCCACTCCTGGTTGCACCACTGGTAAAACTGGAGAACTAGACGTGTGAACAGGCCCGGAGGCACTCGGCCTAAATCAAACCTCACAAAAAGTGAAGGGATTCTCACAGAGGAAAGGAGCTCAACTAGGTCGTCTGAAGGGGGCGACATCAACATGGACGGCACGAGGTACTGTTTGTGTTCTCCGTCAGATGGCCAAGGACAAAGCAAACTGAATCTCTCCATTAACGCGATAAGGCTGCCACAGGTTTCTTTACTGTACATATCAATCAACGATTTCCACTCGTGAACCAGGAGCCTTTCATCTAAGATTCCAGTCTCATGCAGCTTGAGCCAAAATTGTTCAAGGATATATTCTGTCGGCTCATAACGTTTAACAGTGATTACTTTCTTGAAGATATCAATGAGCCATTGGGGGTCTAAGATCACCATGTTGTTCAATTCTGGTGTTTCATTAAAATGAATCAGAACCTTTTGATCATGCAAAAAATCAAGCATAGTCCGAAATTGCTCATCGTCGTTGATCGCACACTCATCTGTTGCAATTTGCTTTGCTTCATTAATGGGCAACCATTTGCACTGCTTTTCAAGTAAAGACCGCAGAATATGTTCAAACCTTAACCACTTCAATGGAACGGCCTCCTGCATCTGTGGAAGACTTTGGGCAACAGAAATTAATTCTTCCCTGAGGCGCACTACCTCTGGACACTCGTCAGTTTCGCTTCCTGACTTCGTATTGTCGACGACAAAAACGTCCTTAAACAAATGGTTTCTATAAGGCTTCTTTTTGAGAAATCCATAGATGTCGAGCGCCAACTCTCTGGGATCCCTGTTCCTACAGTAAGGTTCATCGGCATGAGTACACACCAAAAACACTGGAGGTAATATTGTGGGTGAGGCAAGCGGAACAGATATGTTCTGACCATCAGCATGTGGACCAACCAAAGAATAAACTGATGAAAGCCAAAAGTCAAGATTGTCTAGGTTTGTCTTGTTGCAGTAATTGTCTTCTTTGTTTTTGTACAGCCCTTTTCTCACAACACTGTTAGCTTTCTGGTATGGATCACGACTTAGATCACAAGTTAAAATATATATGGCTCTCTCTGTCAGGAAGACTGGATGGGTAGCATAGTAAACGGACTGTCCACCAAAGTCCCAAATAATGGAGAATAACTCGTCCTTTTCTTCATTCGTTTTCACATTTAGCAGAAGCTCTTTCACTAGCTTTGCTACACGTTCTGGGACTTCGTTTGAAAACGGAAGAGTGCATCTTTCTGTTCTTACCTCTGAGTACTTAAGTGACGCCTCAGGCTTACTTTTGCTTGGTTCCTTTAAAAGTTGTCTCTGAGATGTTTCTTCTTTCGCATGTTGCTTCTCGAGATCCTTTAATGCTCCAAATACCGACCGTGCCACATGGTGCTCAAAGTAAGCCTCTGAAAAAGGTTCACTTTCTTTGTCGTTGTCACCTGTTCTCCAAATTTCCGTCGAAACCTTAAAGTATTCAGGATCAGTCGCTATTCCTTCAGTGCTCCGTTCCTTTGGATCGAACTTTTCTCCCTTCAGAGACTTCTTTAGACTGGTCTTCCCTGTCCGATCCTGCCCAATTATCATAACTGGTACTCTTTTGATGAATGCTTTCCCATCCAAAAGAGCTTTGTTGTAGGCTTCAACGGCCGCGGGACCTCGCGCCTGAATATCCAAGGGGGCTATGAAAAAGAAAGAGGCATCAGCTTTTTTCTTCAAAGCCAATACCATTGCAATTTTAAAATCCAGCTTTAAAGCTGTGTTAAAAAGTGCCAAAAAGAAGCACGCACAAGCTGTTTTGGTTTTCTTTTCCCTGGCTGAATGATGCTGATCCAGTAGTCGAACCACGAATTCCTTAAATCGTAAGTTAATCTTGCAGCTGTTCGCATGAAGAATCTTGCCGATCAAGAAGTATTTTAATCGGGTCTTGAAGCTCACCACAACTAACAGGCCTAGGATTGGGTTGAAAACTAAACTAACTAGAGATAAATTGCAGCCTAGCCCTGAAACAACAGAGCTGCGTGTCATAACGATGCTAGTTTTTGGCAAGTAGGCCTCTTGGATGTTGTTCTTTCAGAATATCCTGACAAATCCCATAATTTCACAAATTTAATTTTCTTATGACGGCACATTTTAGAACTCTATTTCTCTTAACTTAACTTCTCTTAACTCTAAATCTTTTGGGTACATAGATCTTAAATATATAATTAAGACAATAAAACGGAAATTTAAACATACCCCAACTGGAAAGCCTGAAAAATAGGAAGCCACAGCAGTAGCCACCCTTCATAATTGATACCCACCAGCAATAAATTGAATTTACATTACCTTCCGGTAGTCTTTTTGCAAATTCTGCAGAAAACAAACGATATAACATCAGTGCGAAATATTTTTCACTACCTCTACTCATCACGTTCGTGCTTTTGAACCGGGTACTTTAGGGAAAAGCCTACTTCTAATTCTACACACTAGAACCATAAAAAATATATATATATATAAAAGATATGTTTCATGAAAGTCACAGTCGCAGAGCCGGTTCACCATTGTAGAAAACAATAGATGCCTTACTTAACACAAAGCTCGCAAAAAGTCAACTTCAAAATGAACAAATCTAGATCTTTAGTCTTGTCTAAACAAGTGAGTATATTCTTTTTTATTTTAACCTTAATATAGACATTCGTTACTAAAATATGCTTTATTTCCCATTCTGGAAGCTCTTTCTGCTTACTCTTGAAAACTACAAAGTGATCATGATACTGCGAAAAGGTACCGAGTTCCTTTAGGAGTTTTCTTTCTGTTAATGAGACTCTTTTTACATTATAAAGTGTAATAGATTAATTCCTTAATCACACCTAGTTCCTTTCATGCCTTTTATAACTTAGTTTGGATCTCTCTCACAACTAGACATGCAAATACGTGCTCTGCTGATCAGCTTTGTCCATTTACATTTCGCAGGAAAAAGAAAACAACTCAGCTATGGAGAGCAGACAAGGTCATCAAAAAAATCCACGTTCCTCTCCTTAAAAATGCAAGGAATCTTTCCTATCCTGAGTTCCTAACAGTATTTCTGATAAAGCAGAGAAAGCAAAGAATCCTTTACCAACTTAAAACTGAAAGACGTGGATACCCCTCCCCCTTCCTTCCCACGAGATTCGAACTCCACTCTCGCTTATTTAGAATGTTCTAAAAAAAAATATCGGTTTTGCGTTTCCCCCAGTAAAATGCGTCACAAAACCCAGACTGAAACGCAAGTTATACGCATAGGTTATATTCTGTACTAAATGAAGTACTTATCGCGGCCTTGGACCAGACCCTGCAATGTGGGAAAAGGCAAAAAACGGGATCAAATAGGGAAAAATATCGGCGAGCGAAGGGAGCCAAGCGGTTGTCTCGAAAGGGGCAAAGGGCGGCGGCTGCACGTTTACCATTTCTTAAATGGTATATAAAAAAATGAGTGCTCTGTTATGACCTTGGATCTATAATCACGATTTCGGCGTGTAACTAGTTCAACTCTACAAGGTTTGTTTAGAGTATGCCGGAAATGCTTCTCACATTCTGTTTCACGCACGTGTCTTGTGACATGCAAATCAGACAAGAAATGGTATCTAATGCGCATGTGCATCAGCTTACTGTGTCCCTTTTAATACACAGAGAATGCCGGGTTATTGAGCGTTGATG